AGCGGCCGGGGGGCTGGCGGAGGTACCGGCGGCCCCGGCCCCGGCTGTCCCACAAGGGCCCCATGCCGTTCTGAGCCAGGTGAGATGCTGCGGGCCACGGGGGATGCAGGGAAACGTGCGACGGTGCCAGGAGGGAACTCATAAGTACTTGGGCTTGCTCTCGTTGCAGGGCTGCCAGCCGCCTTCCACGGACACGGCTTCCATCGCTCACGCCGAGCTCTCGCCCGCTCTGCTCATCCTCCGGCCCTGAGCCTGGGGTCCCCCCTGTGAGCCCTCCCTGCTGGTCCCGGTGCCGTGTCTGGCACTGTGGGTGCATCCTGCCCCTCCTCGCTGCCCCGCAGGGCTGGATGGACGGGGGCTGCCTGCAGAGGGGTCGGGGTTGCCACGATGCTCTGTCCCGCTGGGGACGGGGCCGGCTCGGGCATCGGCCCTCCGGGACCACGGGCTTTGCGCAAAGCACTTTGTCAGGCAGAGCAGCTTCTCCTCAGGGTCTGTGAGCCCCCTCGGGGTCCTGCCCCAGCCCGGGGGGGAGCACACAGCTTGTCCTGGGTCTATTTATTCCCATGGTGCTCGTCCCACACCCCGGGTGAGCTGCCCTCCCTCTCCCGCTGGCAGACCCACCTCGTGGTGGGGTGGGGTCCCCACCCAGGACACACTGCGGGGTCCTGGGCCCCTCTGCTTCACGCCGTGGGACAGCAGGGACAGGGGGCACTGGGGTCTCTGTCAAGCTCTGCCTACACCAAAGGAGGGGCCCCGGCTCTGAGCTGGGCCCTGCTGATTGTCTCCTGTGTCTGTAAAGATTTGTTCCATGTAAATACATCTTTATAATAAAGAGTTATGATTATTAACTCAGTAAATGCTGATTTCTGGAAGGGCAGGCAGGGGTTCCCATCCTGCTGGTGGGGAGGGATCTCAGGTGCCCCTGCTCCCTCCTCGGGCTGTCTGCAGGCGCTGGGGCCATGGCAGCCCCTTCCCCAGCCCACTGCTGCCAGAGGAGGTGCTCAGCAAGGAGTGAAGCCATGTGCTGAGCCTGTGGCATTGGCAAGGAGGGTGGGAAAACACAGGTCAGAGAGGCTGCGAGATGCAGGAGGGAATGCTGGAAGGGCACAGGGATGCTGGTCCTCCAGGGCATCCCTGCCCCTTGTGTTCAGTCACTGCTATTCCCGGCATCCCCGTTTCTGGTGTCCCTGTCCCTCGTACCCCTGGCATTCGTCCCCTACTTGTCCCCATCCTTGCATCCCCCATCTTGGTGTCCCCACCCCACGTGGCTGTGAGCAGGACCCATGTGGGGGACAGGGGGCCAAAGCTCAGGACTGAGGGTCCCTGTAGGACCCCGCAGGCAGGGAGGAGGGGCTGAGCCCTGCAAAGGGATGGGACCCCACGGGACAGGACACTCCCAGCCGCGGCTGGGACGCGAGAGGCGGTGCCCATGCGAGGCCTCCAAGCCCCTCACTGTTTGCAGGGAGCTGCCCCCGAGGGACGCTCCGGGCGGGGGGCTGCGGGCAGGGGTCGGCAGTGCCGGCGGGGAGGGGGTTAAGGGGCTGCGGAAGGGCTGCAGCTGCGGGCTGGGAGCGGGGCTGGGGAAGCGCCGGGACCCAGCTGGCGTCCATTAGCTCATCCGCCGGGAGCGGGAGGGATGCGCTGCCCGGCCCCGCGCCAGCGCTCCGGCCACGGCGCCACGGGCCGGGAGCCCGGTACGGCCGGGACCTGCCCGGGAGCCCCGGGACCCTGCCCGAGAGCCCCGGCACCGCTGGGACCCTGCCCGGGACCCCCGGCATCCCTGGAGCCACTGCTGCCCCATGTCCTCACCACCAGCTGCCCTGAGAAACCCTGCCATCCCCACTGCCCACTTCTGCCCTGGCCCTCATGCCCAGTTTTCCAGAGCCAGCAGCCTCCCAGGGCTGGTGGGGCAGGACATGGTGTCCCGGTCACAGCCCCCTCCAGGTGCCCCCAGCCCCAGCTCTGGGATGTTTGGGAGGTTTATCGTTCCTCCCTTGCCACTGCTCCAACCAGCGCTGCTGCTTCTGGTTTGAACTGGGAGGGCTCTCCCCCTGCACCCCAAACCAGCCCTCAATGCCCGTGCTCGGCCTCCCCAGCAGCGGCAGCAGGCACCTCGCCCAAGAGATTGGGTGAGGTCCCTGCACCCCTGAGACCCCTGGAGCGGCTGCCGTGGCCGTGCCAGCAGGGCAGCGATGTCCCACGGATGTCCCCCAGCCCCAAGCGCTTGGGCTGCGGCCAGGGGCTGCACAGCTGAGGCCTGACCCCAGCCCTCCCGCGCCAGCCTGGGAGGAGGAGGCCAGGGAGGACCTCCTGGTTGGGCTGTGGCCAGCCTGGAAGGAGGAAGAGGCTTCTTGGGCCGGGAGACCTAAGGAATCTCTGGCTCTTCCTGGCCTGGCCGGCTGCCCGCAGGCAGGTGGGAGCTGCTGAGCTCGGCCACGCTCCCTGCGCCTCGCGTGCCACAGCAGTGCCAGAGCCGTACTGCAACAGGAGCTGGGGCACAGTGGGCACAGGGACACTGCTGGGGACACGGGCAGAGCGGTGCAGGGCAGTCCTGGCCCTGGCTGTGCCAGCAGGGTCTGTCCCGGCAGGACAAGGACGGGATCTGCCAGGTTCCAGCACGCCCAGCAGGGACGCAGGGGACACTGCGAGAGGGCTGAACAGCGGCAGGAGCTCTGCGGTCCTTGGGGACCTCTGGCTGTCCCCAGGGGGAACAGGGACAGCAATGCCCAGCCAGGGCTGGCAAGGGATGTGCGGCGTGGCTGTGGGACACCACCAGCTCCTCCAGCACCTGGGCACCACCTGCACCCCTCAGTGCCCGTGTTCACGGTGGACTGATGCACGAGTGAGACCCCCAGAGCTGCACCCCAACAGCCCCCAGGGTCCCCTCCTGAGGAGGAGGAGGAGGATGGGCAGGCCCAGCCTTTGTCCCATCCCCAGGGAGCATCAGGCCTTCGCTCTCGCTCCGGCATTTCCGCCGGCAGTGGCAGGAATGCGGTGGCCACGGGAACAATGCCGGCACCTTGCGCTGGTCACCTCGGTGACAGCACGGGAGCAGCTGCCCAGGCACAGCCCTGCTCCCAAGGAGCCGGCAGGAAGCAGATGGAGATGACACCGGCCACCGCTTCCTGCGGCAGGACACGCAGGCCTGCAGCACCGCTGGGCCCTGGGCACAGCACCGGCACGGCACGGCCAGCACGGGCACGGCACCGGCACGGCACAGCCAGCACGGGCACAGCACCGGCACGGCCAGCACGGGCACAGCACTGGCACAGCCAGCACGGGCACGGCACTGGCACAGCCAGCACGGGCACGGTACCGGCACAGCCAGCACGGGCACAGCACCGGCACGGCACGGCACGGCCAGCACGGGCACGGTACCGGCACGGCACGGCCAGCACGGGCACGGCACCGGCAC